GCAATTTGCAAATCACAAAGACACTGATGTTCACATCCATTAGATGTGATTTCAGGTGCTATTGTTTGAAGATTTTTATTGCTACTTTTGAATATTTTCAACGATTTCTTGCTATTTGCAGTGCGATTTCCATTGTATTCTATGTAAGTGAAATCGCAACAAAACTGCAGAAAGAGTAATGCAAGAACTGCTTTAGAAACCGCGCCGTAGCAAATCGCAAATGTCAAGAAACTGACGTTCACATCCATTAGATGCGATTTCTGGTGAGATTTCTGAAGACTTTATTGCTACTTGTGAAGATTTTCAATTCCCAAATCGCACCGGTATGAACGGGCACTAAGACAGAAACTTATTTGTAGGATTACCAGGTGAAAATAAAGGAGAAAAAGCCTGAAAAAAATGCAGCCAGCTCATCTAAGAACTGGCAAGCTGCTACATATGAATTTTTTGGAGGGGTTTAGATACACTTTAATGTTCAATATTGATTGGAGAGAAGCTCGTTCCTAGATTGTAAACTGCTACAAGCCAGACCCTGTGTTTTCTTTTGTAGCAAATTGTAACTGTAATGTCTGCCTTCATTTTGTAAAGTGCTGCACAAACTGTTGGCGCTATATAAATCCTGTATAATAATATTATAATAATAATAATAATAATAATAATAAAATATCCCATTTTAGATTACCGTATTTGTTTAAAAACTATTTTTTTGCTTGTGGAAATATGTTTTTTGAACAATGAAATATAAATCAATTATATCATTCCCACAAAACTACATGAATAATAATAATAACAATAATAATAATAAAAATAAATATCCCATTTTTGCTTAAAGAAATATGTCTTTTGAACAATGAAACATAAATCAATTATATAATTCCCACAAAACTACATGAATAATAATATCTCCTAGATTGTAAGCTCCAAAGAGCAGGGCCCTCGATCCCCTCATGTTTTGCATTGTATTGGTATTGTTCTGTCACATGTTCTGTCCCCCTTTGTAATGTACAGCGCTGAGCGAACTATTGGCGCTTTATAAATAATGTATAATAATAATAATATAATAATATCCCATTTTAGATTATTTGTTTAAAAACTATTTTTTGCTTGTGGATATATTTTTTTTGAACAATGAAATATAAATCAATTATATCATTCCCACAAAACTACATGAATAATAATAATAATAATAATAATAATAAAAATAAATTTCCCATTTTGGATTATTTGTTTAAAAACTATTTTTTGCTTGTGGAAATATTTTTTTTGAACAATGAAATATAAATCAATAATATCATTCCCACAAAACTACATGAATAATAATAATAATAATAATAATAATAATAAAAAAAAATTTCCCATTTTGGATTATTTGTTTAAAAACTATTTTTTTGCTTGTGGAAATATGTTTTTTTTGAACATAGAAATAGAAATCAACTATATAATGTCCATGAAACTACATGTATAATAATAATAATAATAATATTATTAATAATAATATAAATATTGCTGCATAAAGTGTGTAATTGTTCTTTTTTATACTGATTAACAAAGTTTGTTATTACGTACATAATGGCATAACGGCAAGCTTTTGATCCTATAGTAATGAACACCCTGGGCCTCCAAAGGGTCTATTGTGTTGCTTATGTATAGGAAAATGTTTGACTATTCTTTAAATCAGATTAGTCTGGAAATGTTTACACATATTTTTTTTACTACGTAATGTAATTGCAATTTCACTTACATTTATATTCTGGCTAATTTTATATAGTAAATTCTCCTGGAAAGGATTCTCATTCTTACCGTTCATACCATATAATGTCTCTGTATATATTAAAAATGTAAACTTGCATTATCCTGGTATGTACTGAATATTTTATACACTGCTCTGTCCACAAAATGCAAATCATTCTAATAAGTTTAATATCATAGGTCTGTCAAAAGATTTTTTATGAATCCGGCCAAAAAAAAATTAGAACTAAAATAATTATAATAAATAACAAAATTCTAAGTACTTTCAGATTTACTAGCTTTGTAAGTTGGAGGTTTCTTTGTAAACTTAGAACTAAAAACAAAAATTGAGTAAAAAAACTTTGCATCTTACCTAATTTGTAAATGAAAGAACATTTTAAAGTCTGGTTTTAAATATACCCATAAAGACAAACAAATATAAAATAAAACCAGCATGCATTTGCCCATTGAAAGACATGCCGAGTTTGACCTTTGTCACAGAGGAAATCCTGCCCTTTAACCCTAAGGTGAAATCTGAAAGAGGAGAGGGGGAGGGAGAGAATTAACCAAGAAAGGCCAGTGGAACTACAATGATGCCCTGTACTACATTGTACTGTAAAGAAGTATGGGGGGGTTGTTGCTCTTCCAGCTGGACAATGTTATGTGAGCCATGTGCTCAGCAACAGTTGAAGAATAGGAAGGCATTACATGAAACGCTGATTGTATAACTTTAAATTATCAAAAGACCGCAGTTTACCACCAAAATGAAATGTGGGAACACAGAGGATCATATTAAATATCTACAGAAATAAATTTAATTTAATAATTTGCATTTAGTGATTCAGATTTTTTTAACAAATTTCGTAAAAAAAAAAAAAAAATTATGTAAATACAACACTACAAATTTTTTTTTAATCTTTTTTATTGATTTTTTGTTGAGAAACACAAACAGGAAATACAAACAAAAGTTGCCCACGCAGGGGCAGGGCCATAGGCCTAACAGGTCTAACACATAACTAAAAGTTTAAAAAAAACCCAGAGGAGAAGGGGGGGGGGGGGGGGGGGGGGGGGGAGACATTACAGGACATGCAAGGCCTAATCAAATACAAGTGAATAACAAGACCATAGAAAACAAGAGGGAACTCATTTCAAGTCAGGAAAAAAAGCACATTAGTAACTGAAACTGAAAGTGTATTAATGGAAATAAAACATAATATTTACAGCTGATAATAAGTATGGGATTTACCGAATGTATTGATTAAAGCCTACTAGACATTTTCAGAAAATTGAATGAAAATATCAACGATCGTTTGATGTTCTGTGTTTTAGCATACTACTTTCGAGAGCCGATGTCAACTGTTCAAATTTCTGCAGGGACATGCTGAAAAATGTTTCTGGTTAGTTACTGGAATTAATGATTTTTGTTTAGTTAGCACAGCCTTTTTCAACCGAGGTGCCTTGACAAAATGACTAAAAATTGCCCTAAATTGTCCAAAAAACGGCAAAAGCCAGCGGGTAGAATAAGCCTGACTTTTTGTTACACATTTCCAATCCTAGATTGTAAGCTCCCAGGATCAAGGCCCTCCTTACCCTCTTGTATTGAACTGTATTGTTGCTGTATTGTCTCCTATTATATTGTAAAGCGCTGAGCAAACTGTTGGCGCTATATAAATTCTGTATAATAATAATAATGTGCAACATTACAACCTTGGACACTGTGTGGTTTACTTTGCAAGAATAAATGAGCTCTAATGTTGGGTGCCCTAGGTGTGTGGATGCTACTGCAATATGTAAAACTATTTGGGGTGCCTCGAAATTGTGCATCATTTTAAAGGGTGCCTTGACTGGAAAGAGGTTGAGAAACACTGAGGTAGCACAGTATTCATCCTTAAAAAAAAATCGAATGAGCAAGACAGCGCACAATCGGGAACAAAGTATGGCCTGGTAGAAGATGGCAACAAAAATAATTTTCATATACATGGAAGAATGGTTCATAATAATAAAATATTCTCTTAAAGAGATATAAACTGAATTTCTATGATAGTGATAAGTAAATAGCAGGATAAAGTTTACCAGTATTCAGATTATCTCTTGGACAACAAATAAAGGGTTATGATTAATAGTGATTATTATTATTATTATTATTTTAAAGTTAACAAAATATTATTATTACTATTATTAGTAAAAATCATATTATTATTATTATCATCAGCAGCATTATTATCTCAGAATAATAATAATAGTAATATTAGTATTATAATAATAATATCCGTATTATTATAATGATAATAATAATATCAGTATTAAAATAAAATAATAATAATAATAACAACAATATAATAATATTAATATTAATAATAATAATAATAATAATATCAGCATTATTATTATTTTAAAATTAACAAAATATTATTATTATTATTATTATTATTATTATTATTATTATTATTGCTATCATCATTCATTGCTTTAATTTTTTATGAGATACATTTTTTATATAATTAGATTTTCCTTAATTTATTAGCAAATAAAGGGTCGCACACACATTACATCACATCTGAACTGGAGCATAGCTACAGTAGATACGTGAGAATTTTTCCTTTATCGTTCGAGAATTTTCGTACCATTAATAGCATTCTTGTTTTCAGCATGATACGAACATTCATGGAAAATAGGAAAATCATTTGTCTGATTTTCTAATATTGTGTACCAGGCTTAACATGTACGTTACAGGCAGCAGCAGCATATGAATGAGCTTTTATCTGTTTGTCTTCATTAAACTGATGGAAGGCCCTGTTTTGTTCATCGCTATGAATTATTACCTATCATTGTTGCTTGTGCTATATTACTGAATAATTGATAACAAATAAAGTTGACAATGTGCAACTCTGTTGAATTCAAAGGCAATTAAAAAAACGTGTTAGCAGTATCAGCGGTGCTCAACAGAGGGCACTACAGTTGCTTTAACTGGCTGATGTCAGATGACTTTATATTATAGCATTTTTTTTTAATAGTCCTCATTTTTTGCAGGCAGGCGAAGGTAAGTAATTGTAAGGTAAAAGATTATAAAGTCATATTTCTCCTAGATATTAGAGAGCATTCAGACTCATAGGCATTATTCCTACCCACTTGAGAGAACACTTTTCTGAAGTAATTTTCCATAAACAAGTATGCTAGGATCCCCACAGCCTGTATATTTATAGATAAAAAGGAAGAACGAAGACTCCCCCAATGCAACCTTATCTCAACCAGGGGCGGACTGACAACTCATAGGGCCCCCCGGGCAATAGGGGATCATGGGGCCCCTGTGTCCTTGCCCAAACTCAAAAAAGCTTATGAAAAAGGTAACAGGGGCATCTCATGGGGCCCCCTACTGACCCCGGGCCCTCGGGCAGTGCCAGAGTTTCCAAATGGTCAGTCCGCCCCTGGTACTGTATATACCATACCTGGCCGATGCCACTGGATGCTGAAAAGCACTGAAGTAGACATCGCTACTCCAGTGCTCTCCACTAGCTTCCAGGTCCAGTGCTGAGTGGCCGACCTGATGCATTGTGAACGCAGGATGTTGACTGCTCAGCACGGGTGCCATTCAGAGAATGCTTTTGATTTTCTGGATGAATGCAAATTCTTGGGTGAGGTGGAGAGGTGGGGCAGTGCCGTCATGCTCTCCACCTCATCCAATCAGAGGATGCAGCTAGAGACTCCCCCAAAAAAAAAATATCTCCTACTTCTCTCTAACTAATCATCACAAAAAATTTAAAAAACGCAAACTAATCCAATAGATTCAAATATATAAATCCATGATCACATGACATGCTGGGTATCAAGTCTTCTCTCTTCTAGACTGCTTAAAGTGGTTGTACAGGCTGAAGGTTTTTTACTTTCATGTATTCTATGCTTGAAGGTAGAAAACCTTCTGGATGCTGTTCCCCCATAGCCTACCTAATACTTACCTGAGTGGCATCCTTCTCACATCCCTCTCCTCATTGGCTAAGACAGCAGCCAGTGAGCCAATGAGGTGAGTGCGGAGTACGGGGCTCAGCCTTATGAACACAGAGCCAGGCTCGAGAGCAAACAGGCACCGGTGCCCCCATAGCAAGCGGCTTGCTATTGGGGGCACTGATCAAGAAGGAGGAGCCCTGTTTTTTTAATCCAAACCTACCATTTGACCTCCTGAGGATTTACCCCCTTCCAGACCAGGCCATTTTTTTGTGTTACGGCACTGCGTTATTTTAACTGACAATTGCGCAGTAATGCAACGCTGCACCCAAATAAAATTTACATCCTTCTTTTCCCACAAATAGAGCTTTCTTTTGGTTGTATTTGATCACCTCTGCGTTTTTTATTTATTATAAAAAAAAGATTGACAATTTTGAGAACAAAACAATATTTTTTATTTTTTGCTATTTAAACATGTCCAGTAAAAAAAATTTAAAAAATCTAATTTCATCATAAATGTAGACCAAAATGTATTCTGCTACATCTTTGCTAAAAAAAAATCCCAATACGTGTAAATGAGTTGGTTTACATGAAATTTATAGCGTTTACAAATGGCGGTATACTGGTCTTTTTTTTTTTCTTCAATTTTTACTAGTAATGGTGGCAATCAGCGACTTATATTGGGACTGCGGGACTGCGGTGGGCATTCTGACACTGAGGGGAACTGACTTGGTGTCACTGACATCCCCAGTGACACCAATACAGTGATCAGTGCCAGGGGCGGACTGACAACTCATGGGGCCCCGGGCAATAGGGGATCATGGGGCCCCTGTGTCCTTGGCCAAACTCAAAAAAGCCTATGAAAAAGGTACCGGGGCATCTCATGGGGCCCCCTACTGACCCCGGGCCCTCGGGCAGTGCCCAAGTTTCCAAAATGGTCAGTCCACCCCTGATCAGTGCTAATAAAAAGCACTAACGCTGTACTAATGGCACTGGGCATGAAGGGGTTAACATATTGGGCAATCAAAGGGTTAACAGTGGGCTGTGTGCCGTTTTACATGATGTTCTGTGCTTCACTGTAAAAACACTGCTTTGCTTGACTGTGCTGTGTACAGCCATGCAAAGCAGTGTGCAGGAGCTGACAGGGAGGAGAACTGTTTTATTTACTAACAGTTCTCCCCCCGCTCGTTGGCGCTGGCAAGTAATCACTCCAATGATTGACAGCCACGGTCACGAATGGTGGCGCAGAAATGCAAAATCACATATATATATATGTGTGATTTTGAGCACAGCTGTCACCCTGGTGCTAAAGCGGTTAAAGTCACTTTAAAGTGAGGGTCCATTTGTAGGTGTCAATTGTCAGTACAGGCCTAGTAGTGTGGACATTTCTCAATAGTTGTCCATGGACAGAATCCTCACAGGCCCTGAAGACCACATCAGTGGTATGGAGTCATTCCGAGACAGACCATTGTAAATGTTATAAAAGAACAAAAACTCGTGATTAGGAGGGTCTAAAGGTTAGTTGATTTTGATGAATATCACCTGGATTGTTATAATGTTCATGTCTTTGGGTAGCACCGACACACCTGGCATACCAATTTTGGAGAAATAACCATTAGTTGATATCAGGGGTGGACTGACCATTTTGAAACCCGGGAACTGCCCGAGGGCCTGGGGTCAGTAGGGGGCCCCATGAGATGTCCCTGGTACCTTTTTCATAGTCTTTTTTGAGTTTGGGCAAGGACACAGGGGCCCCATGATCCCCTATTGCTCTGGGGCCCCATGAGTTGTCAGTCCGCCCCTGTACAGTACATACTAACAAATAACTAGTGTAAGTGCTGCCTATTCAGAATAAGTGACAAAAACATATAAAGACAATTCAATAGTTCAAATCCACATATTTCTTCATGCAAAGGATTGGTGCAGTCTCTAATTTCTGCCGTGCACTATACTTCTTTAAAAATAAAAGGTTCTGAGCGGAATCACCGGACTAGAAGTGACGCAACAGCGTATGTTCCACCGGCCGGTTATGACGTCACCAAAGGTTTCCAGTGTCGTTTCCAGATATGTGTAGTGGCTTTGTACATTATTTAGTATTCCTTTACTTATGAAGGGCTATAACAACAACAACAAATTAAAAACACATCTTTTTAGTCAATATATATTAAGTAAATAGAAATAATAAATCAAAAGATCAAAAAAGCCGCGCCACAGAAAATCTAATCAGTGCAGCATATAAATCAGACTAAATAGTAACTAGACTTTTAAAGATGTAACAAGTATTGGCAGTGCTCGCTCTGATTATATAAATGTACACATTAACAAGTGTTCAAAAATACAAAGTGACAAGTGCTGTATAATATCAACAATCCATCAAAAATCTTCATATACTGTGCACTTCTTATTAGTCCCAAAAAACATAATATTAAAATAAAAAATATATACAAAAAAAATTGTCTATAATCCATGTGTGTTGTATTGACTTCAGTAAAGTGTCTTGTGTAAAGACTTATGACTGAATAAAAATTCTTCTAAAAACCAGCGTAAAAAAAAAAATCCGTAAAAACAAAGGAAGAAATTGAAACAATCTTAATCTATTCCACCATTTTAGCTGATTACCACCACCAACTCCTCCAAACTAACTCACCAGATATAATGGCTGGTATATGGTAAAACCAGTATACTCATGGAAGTCCTCAGCACTTTTTAGGACGATCGAACAATTGTATGTAGGCCACAGCCCCCCCAATGTCAATCAAATGGATCCGATATAAAATATGTCAAGGAAAGGAAGAAGAGAACCCCATTGCACAAAATTGTATGTTTATTATAAAATAACAAATTACACTAAAAAAAAACCTCACATTTAAAAGTATCAGACCTGACTCTAGGCCTATATAACATATGAATGCCCCATTCCAGCCTCAGCCTCTTTCCTCTGGCTGCAAGCATGGTTTCCCACACAGAGGTGACATCACATTCAAAAGCCACGCCCTACACATGCTTCATCATTCAACGTCTTCCAGGGGCGAACGTTTGATAGACAAAACGTTCGTAGAGCGTGGCTTTAAATGTGTTGTCACTTTGGTGTGGGAATCCATGCCCTATATACGTTTTGTCAATCAACGTCTTTCAGGAGTAAATGCTCAATAGACAAAATATACGTAGAGTGTGGCTTTTGTATGTGATGTCACCTTGGTGTGGGAATCCATGCCCTACATACGTTTGTCCATCGATGTCTTCCAGGGGAGAATACTAGATAGACAAAACGTAAGTAGGGTGTGGCTTGTGGATGTGATGTCATCTTGGTGTGGGAATTCATGTCCTATGTATGTTTTGTCTATTGAGGTCTTCAAGGGGTGAATGCTCCATAGACAAAATGTACATAGAGTGGCTGGCTTTTGGATGTGACATCACCTTGGTGTGGAAATCCATGCCCTATGTATGTTTCATCTATGATGTCTTCCAGGGGTGAATGCTCAATAAACAAAATGTACGTAGGGCGTGGTTTTTGTATGTGATTGCACCTTGGTGTGGGAATCCATGCCCTACATACGTTTCATCTATCGATGTCTTCCAGGGGTGAATGTTCAATAGACAAAATGTACTAAGGCTGTGGACATCACCTTGGTGTGGGAATCCATGGCGTACGTAAGTTTCTTCTATCGATGTCTTCCAGGGGTGAATGCTCAATAGACAAAATGTACGTAGGGCGTGGCTTTTGGATGTGATGTCACCTTGGTGAGGGAATCCATGCCCTACGTAAGTTTTCTCTATTGACGTATTCCAGGGGTGAATGCTCAATAGACAAAATACATACGTAGAGCGTGGCTTTTGGATGTGACATCACCTTGGTGTAGAAATCCGTGCTTGCAGCCAGAGGAGAGCGGCTGAGGCCGGTATGGTGCATTTATATGTGATATAGGCCTAGAATCGGGTCTGATACTTTTAAATGTGAGGTTTTTTTGTGCAATTTTTCCCGATGATGGGGTTCTCTTCCCTTCCCTTGACATATATTATATCGGGTGCATTTGAGTGGCAACGTGGGGCTGTGGTCTACATACACGTCTTTCAAAGTGCTGTGGGCTTCCGCGAGTATGCTGCTTTTACCATATACCAGCCATTATATCTGAAGAGTTTGTTTGGAGGAGATGGTGGGGGTGATCAGCTACCGTGGTGGATCAGTTGAAATACATACACAAGAATAAGATTGTTCCAGTTTTATCCTTTGTGGTTTCATGGTGGTTTTTTTCCATGGTGGTTTTTTGAAGAATTTTTAGACACTTCTAATGCGGGCCATAGATGAGATGAAAAACGACCGAAAATCGTCCATAAAAAAAAAAAAAAAAAAAAAATCCAATTTTCGGATCGTTAGTTCGTAATCGGTCAGCCATTTTTTGTGATTTTTGACCTTTTAGATTATCAGTCCTGCTGGAAAATAATCGGCCAAATTTGTCATTCTGCTGATTTTCGCGGCAATGATGGACAAATTTGCCGATCTTTTTCCGATATTTAAAAATGCACATGAGCAGTGACATGAAAGAAGAAGGAAAAGAAAAAAAGGAAAAAAATAGAATATGAATGAAAAGAAGAAATAGAGAATGAAGAAGAACAAAAAAAAAATAATTTTCAGTCCGATATTATATTTGACATTTATAAAGTATAGCAACATTGTATCTATTTGTATCCAAATAGAAACATCTGTATCCGAAATGGATACAAATAGATACAATGTTGCAACTTTTTCTTCTTCTGCATATTCGATTTCTTCTTTTTATTCATATTCTATTTCTTCTTCTTCATATTCTATTTTTTCTTCATATTCTATTTCTTCTTCTTCTGCAAATATTCTATATACTTGCTGGCCATAGACGGGACGAAAATCAGCCGACATTTTTTTACCAATAGTGGTAATGTCGACCGATTTTTCATTAATTCAAAAAAAATAAAACGGACGGTTTTCTCCCCATCTATGGCCAGCATAAGTCTTGACACAAGACACTTTACTGGAGTCAATACAACACGTGGATTATAGATAATTTTTTGTATATATTTAATATTTCATTTTTGGAGACTGATAAGGAGTGCACAATATATGAAGATTTTTGATGGATTGTTGATATTTATACAGCACTTGTCACTTTGTATTTTTGAACACTTGTTAGTGTAACCAGTTAAATAATCAAAGCAAGCGGCAATTCCGCCCATGATTTGAAATGCCCTAGTGTGAATGGAGTGCCCGGTCACACCCTTGCGATTGTAGGTACGATTTGGGAATTGAGATCGCACTTGATATCTGATTAATGTGAATGTCAGTGTCCTAACGTGTGATTTGATAAGGCTCCATTTCTAAGGCTAGGTTCACACCTATGGAGTTTGAGTTTGACCCGTTTCTGCATTTCATTTTGCATTGTGTTTTGTGCTTTTTATGCTGTTTTTTAAATTTTTCTTGTTGCTAAGCAGATTTAAAAATGCAAAACGCATCAAAAAAACACAGGAAAAATACAGCAAAAACACACTACATTCTTTTCTGCAACATTTCCATTGAAGTCTATAGAACCAAAAATGCAACTTTTTGGGTTAAAAAAAGTCACTGACCCTTTCCAAAAAAAACTGCACCGGGTGACAATGTGCTGGTGCATGAAACACGTCAGGGGAGTCTACCGGAGTGACGTCACGCCGCACACGGCCGCGAGGAAGGCCGGCGGCCATCTTTATTCTACTATTTTATGATCACATGTGAGTCTGTTACTCTTACCTGGATCTTTTTTAGCCTTCAGATTAATAAACATACTACACTATTAGCACAATTTTGTTCTCTGGCTTGGTCATTACGAGCCCTATAAGGTGGAGCTATCTTGGGATTTGGAGCCATTACTTTGAACTGTTTTTGATGGGTATGTGAGCGGAGTGGGACCCCTGTGTGTGACAACATCATCCACTTCTGAGCCTGATGACCCCGCAGCCCTGGACCAGACCTAGATGACCCTATTATAGGATATACGTATAATGCGCATATTATGGAAAGTGCATAATCTTACTGGCTCTTGGCACCTACAATTACCAGCACGGAGCACGGATCACGGATCCTATTTCATGGACTGCTATATTTCTAGATTGGACTTATCACTATTGTCACCATAATATTTGGCTTGTATTGCATTGACGTGTCACTTTAAGACGCAATCATCACTCCACTATTTCTGCGACACCAGTAGTGCTCACTTATAGCATCATTTTACATTATTTTATTGTCATTATTATCATTGGTTATCTTATGTTCTTCAGCGCTGCGTATTTTTTTCTTTTGATTGTTTAGATACAGGTCTCTCCCCCATCGGAAATCCTCAGAGACCGCTGGGTGCCGGCGAGGTAGGGCGCACATCCTCCTGATTGACAGCTGAGGCCGTGAATGGCGGCGCGGGTAGGGCGTGGGCCCCCTACCCGGAACTGCAAAATCACGTATTTTTTTCTTTTGATTGTTTAGATACAGGTCTCTCCCCCGTCGGAAATCCTCAGAGACCGCTGGGTGCCAGCGAGGTAGGGCGCACGTCCCCCTGATTGACAGCTGAGGCCGTGAATGGCGGCGCGGGTAGGGCGTGTGCCCCCTACCCAGAACTGCAAAATCACGTATATACACACAATTTTGCGCACCCATGCCGCACTGTAGCAGTATTTCTGCTTTAGGGCGGTGCGGAAGTGGTTAATATTTCTATTTTTTTTTTAAATATATTGACAAAAAAGATATGTTTTAAAATATTTTTTGTTATAACCCTTCATAAGTAAAGGAATAATAAATAATATACAAAGCCACTACAAATGTTCCTTACATCCGGTCCCTGAAGTGCAACGATTTCGGAAGGTTCTGGAGAATTACACAGGCTCTGGGAAGGTTTATGTCTGGAAAAGTAAACGGTTATCTTTACTGCGTCTCCCCTGCAGGGTCTCCCCGAGACTAATGCGCTATATAATTAATTTGTAAGAGTGTCTGTGAGGAGCGCAGGTGGCGGGAATTATTAATAAACTCCAGGTACTGACTACCAATCAAGACACTGGACGCTTGCTGAAATCTTAGTACCTGGAAGACGTATTTCTTGAAATCCTCTACCATGCAATGCCAGCAGGAACCCAGACGGAATGCAGTTTGTTGTGTTTCTTCTCAGCTTGATTTACATAACTTTGGCAGTGAATTAGTAACTCATTAGCAGCGCCTTAACTCATTAGCAGCACTCATTCACAGCTTTGTAACTGGGAGGGTCCTTCACAGTGTGAATGGTTTAAAGACCCTTTATTTCCAAGGCTCAACTCAAATGGCCGGGATGTCCTAACATCAACTTCCACACCTCCCTGGCATGGCCATCCTCAGCGGTCCTACCTCTCCTGGAGTCTTTACCTACTTATGTGTTAGGTCCAGTAACTTTGATGCGACTTTGAACTTTCTGGCACTCAAGTAGCATCAAAGTCGCACCCATCCAAAGTTGCACCAAAGTCACATCAAAGTCGCACCCATCCAAAGTTGCACCGAAGTCACATCAAAGTCGCACCCATCCAAAGTTGCACCGAAGTCACATTAAAGTCACACCCATCCAAAGTTGCACCAAAGTCACATCAAAGTCACACCCAGGGGCGGACTGACCATTTGGAAACTCGGGCACTGCCCGAGGGCCCGGGGTCAGTAGGGGGCCCCATGAGATGCCCCTGGTACCTTTTTCATAGGCTTTTTTGAGTTTGGGCAAGGACACAGGGGCCCCATGATCCCCTATTGCCCAGGGGCCCCATGAGTTGTCAGTCCGCCCATGGTTGCACCAAAGTCACATCAAATTCACACCCATCCAAAGTTGCACCAAAGTCACATGAAAGTCTCATTCATTCCACACCTTCCTGGCATGGCCATCCTCAGCGGTCCTACCTCTCCTGGAGTCTTTACCTGCTTATGTGTTAGGTCCAGTAACTTTGATGCGACTTTGAACTTTCTGGCACTCAAGTAGCATCAAAGTCGCACCCATCCAAAGTTGCATCAAAGTCACATCAAAGTCACACCCATCCAAAGTTACACCAAAGCCACATTAAAGTCACACCCATTCAAAGTTGCACCAAAGTCACATTAAAGTCACACCCATCCAAAGTTGCACCAAAGTCACATCAAAGTCACACCCATCCAAAGTTGCACCAAAGTCACAAAAGTCACACACCATCCAAAGTTGCACAAAGTCACATCAAAGTCACATCCATCCAAAGTTGCACCAAAGTCACATCAAAGTCACACCCAGGGGTGGACTGACCATTTGGAAACTCGGGCACTGTCCGACGGCCTGGGGTTAGTAGGGGGCCCCATGAGATGCCCCTGGTACCTTTTTCATAGGCTTTTTTGAGTTTGGGCAAGGACACAGGGGCCCCATGATCCCTTATTGCCCGGGGGCCCCATGAGTTGTCAGTCCGCCCCTGGTCACACCCATCCAAAGTTGCACCAAAGTCACATCAAATTTGCACCCATCCAAAGTTGCACCAAAGTCACATCAAAGTCACACCCATCCAAAGTTGCACCCAGGGGCGGACTGACCATTTGGAAACTCAGGCACTGCCCGAGGGCCCGGGGTCAGTAGGGGGCCCCATGAGATGCCCCTGGTACCTTTTTCATAGGCTTTTTTGAGTTTGGGCAAAGACACAGGGGCCCCATGATCCCCTATTTCCCAGGGGCCCCATGAGTTGTCAGTCCTCCCCTGGTTGCACCAAAGTCACATCAAAGTCACACCCATCCAAAGTTGCACCAAAGTCACATCAAAGTCTCATTCTTCCAAAGTGGCTGCATGCTGCAATTGATGTGTTTTACCAGCGCGTTTTTTGTTTTTGAACAGTGTTTTTGGTGTGTTTTTTTTGTAGCTTTTTTGATGTGTTTTGCATTTCTTTTTTTGCCAAAACAAAAACTGATTTTGATGCCACTTTGGAACAATGAGACTTTGATGTGACTTTGGATGGGTGTGACTTTGATGTAACCAGGGGCGGACTGACAACTCATGGGGCCCCCGGGCAATAGGGGATCATGGGGCCCCTGTGTCCTCGCCCACACCCAGAAAAAGCCTATAAAAAGGTACCAGGGGCATCTCATGGGGCCCTCTACTGACCCCGTGCCTGAATACTCAAATGGTCAGTCCGCCCCTGGGTGCGACTTTGATGTGACTTTGGTGCAACTTTGGATGGGTGAGACTCAGAAAGTTCAGAAAGTCGCATCAAAGTTGCAATACATGAACAGAACTGTCATAATTTATTTTGCTAAGGACAGTTCTGTTCATGTTGTGCAACTTTGAAGGGACTTTAGCCCTGGTTCACACTGAATGCGGCTTTGAAATGATGCTACTTCACTTGAAGTAGCGCAATTTCAAAGCCGCTGGTCAATGCGATTTCATGGGAGGCTTGTCTGACATCTGTGCAACATCATGCACAGATGTGTATGCAAGTTGCACATGAAATCGCCAAAAATAGTGCGGTAACCTTTTTTTTTTAAACCCATGCCGACAACTCATGGGGCAAATAAGGGATCATAGGGCCCGTGTCCTTGCCCAAACTCAAAAAAAGCCTATGAAAAAGGGTACCAGGGGCATCTCATGGGGCCCCCTACTGGCCCCGGGCCCTCGGGCAGTGCTCGAGTTTTCAAATGGTCAGTCCGCCCCTGTACAAAGGTCATTGGACTGAATCCCAACCAGGGCATCACCTGCCTGGAGTTTGCATGTTCTCTGTACCTGTGAAACCTGTGCCTGTGTGGATTTCTTCCGGGTACTCAGTTTCTTCCACACTCCAAAGACATGCTGGTAGGTTAATTGGCTCTATTATGTGTACAGTGCAAGGCTGGCCATACATTATACAATTTTCTTGTACAATTATTCTTTAGATTTACCAAAAAGTATATAATATGAGGCCCAGGGGCGGACTGGCAACTCATGGGGCCCCCGGGCAATAGGGGATCATGGGGCCCCTGTGTCCTTGCCCACACTCAAAGCACACCCTAAAAAGCCTATAAAAGGTAGCAGGGGCATTTTCATGGGCCCCTCTACTGATCCCAGGCCCTCGGGCAGTGCCCTAGTGCTCGAATGGTCAGTCCCCCCCTGATGATGCCAAACCTAAACAACACTTTCAATTGTATCCAATTAGGCAGACCCTTGCACTACATAGTTGAAGGTAAATCTAAAGGAAATTGTAAGAAAATTGTATAGTGTATGGCCAGCCTTTGTTAAGGACCTTAGATTGTACACCCCTTGAGGGTTAGGGACTGATGTGAATGTACAATATATATGTAAAGTGCTGCGTAAATTGACGGCGCTATATAAGTACCTGAAATAAATAAGTATCCAAGTCGCACCCATCCACAGTTGCATTGAAGTTACATCCATCCAAAAGTTCCTTTACAATTGCATCAAAGTTAACCCCCAAACTCAAAACGATACTATGCATCAAAATGTAGGTCTGGGTCTTGTGATTCTCACAATATAAAGCTCTTCACTGTAGGATTTATAATTTTTAAACTAAAACCGTTTGAAGATGGCAACTGCCAGTGAAGTGAGCAAGTTGGAGCAGTTTGTTTTTAACCGCTCTTCTCTGCCCTTGCTGTAGAGTGAGTTGCCATAGGAACCCAGGTGTGTGAGCAGGCAGCAGAGTTACAAAAGCTAGAGTGTGAGTTGTAGACTACTGGTGGAGGCAAGAACACTTCACCACACAATTTCCCCAGAAATTGTAGCTTTTTTCTAGTTATATTATTATTATACAGGATTTATATAGCAACAACAGTTTGCTCAGTGCTTTACAATATAAAGGGAGACAATACAGTTCAAATACAAGAGGGATAGGAGGACCTGATCCTTAGAGCTTACAATCTAAGAGGGAGGGGCTAGTGGTACAAAAAGGTAATAACTGTGGGGGATGGGCTTGGTTGGAAGAGTAGAAATTCCAGTATTAGCTGAGGGCAGGATAGGCTTCCCTGAAGAGATAGGTTTTCAGAGATCACCTAAAAGTGAGCAAGTAGTAGGCGATATAGTCTGGTAAATTGGGGTAGAGGTTAGTTTCCAGAGTTCCAGAGGATGGGGGAAGCTCTGGAGAAGTCCTGGATACCGAATAGCACCCCCACGCACTCAGCTCAGGTATGTGCTTGAAGACCATGCGATTTGCCTGTGGCCATGTTTTTAAAAAGGTGAATGCACCTTATTGGTGGGAAATGCAGCCACCCCCCCCCCCCCGATCTGCACAGGTGTGAACCAAGCCTAAGGCTAGGTTCATACCTATTCAGTTTGCATTTGATCTGTTTAGACAGTGAGTTTTGTGTTGTGTTTTGCATTTTTGTACTTGCGTTTTTGATGCCTTTTACGTTTTTTTTTCCTTGTTGCTAGGCAGATTTAAAATGCAAAACTCATCAAAAACACGGTAAAAACACAACAAAAACACACTACATGCTTTTCTGCTGCATTTTCATTGAAGTCTATACAACCAACAATGCAACTTTTTGCATTCAAAAAAGTCCCTGACCCTTTCCAAAAACATACTGGGTGAAAACGCAGAGATGTGAACGTGTCCCATAGGAAATCATGTTAAATAGACTGTAGTGCGTTTCTGCAAAATGCTGCGGAAAACTCTGAGGTGTGATGGGTTGGAGTGGGTTTACTTTTTTTGGTGTTCTTGTGTTACTTTTCTTGTGTGTATTGGATTATTAAGTGTTCTTGCATGGCAAAACCACTTACTGTTATCTCACATATCTATTCTTATTATTATAGCCAAATTTACCACCCTAACTCCTCCCACAGTTTTTTACACTACATAGACAGGAATATACCGAAACGTGCGAATTGTTCCCGATCGGATTGTTATTACTTTGTGGAACGTTTCGCCAAATTGTTCAAGAAACATCAGCGTTTTTGTGGTGAAATTGGTCCCATAGGAATGAATGGCAGAATGTTCAAAACTAGAGTGGGAGCTGACAAAAGCTAGAGTGTGACCTGAAAAATCAGGACATGATTTCTAAACTGCCATCACTCCCTCATTTTGAAGCCCACCTACACAAATCGTATATCAAAATGTTCAGCTATCCCTGCTGCCACTAAAAATGTCCGAGGCTAAGCCATAGTCCTGATAGTTTTTACAATATGACCATTTGTTTACAACTCATGCTGCCCATTGACATTCATTGAAACTCCACTCTAGCCACCTCAAATTTGAAGGACAATTTCTAAACTGCGACTATGCCTTCATTTTTAATATTTCAGAGACATACTATGTGTAAGGGACCACCAGGCGGTACCACTAGCACTCCACTGGCCAGGCGTCCCCAGCGCACGGTATCTAAGCCCCAGGGTACGTGTTCACCAGAGCCCCTGATGGTGGGGATGGACTTGAAGTACCCCCCCCCGAGACCAGGTCGTGGCTACTGAGCACGGCCCGTCAGTGGTAGCGGTATTCGCAGGGGCTCCCGCAGGGAAGAGCCTGAGGTGAGGAGGTCGGGTAGTCCGTCGGGATGGATGGATGGATGGCTGAGCAAGTGCGGGGTCAAACGGGCCGTGGACGGTAACAGTGGGGACGAGCAGTACAAGAGCAGCGGGCAGAGAGTAGTCGGGTCACACGCCAGGTCAGCAACGGAGTCAGATCCAAACAGGGCATTCAGGAGAGAGGTCAGGCAAAGCAAGGGTCTGGGCAGGAGAAGGCAACAAGGTCAGGTATAATCCGGGTCAATAACTTACTAGAACAGGTTCGCAGATACAGGATACAAGGGGGAAAGACCAGAAGGCACTGAAATTGACAGCTCAGGGCCGGTTTAAATATCCCGCCCTGCGCTGCCATTGGTGCCTCGCGCGCGCCCGCGGTCCCACTGCGCATGCGCGAACTCCCTCGCCGCGGCGGGACGGCCAGGTCTCAGTGCCCGCAATCCTGACACGGAGCGTGCACTGCGCCTGCGCCGAGCCCGTCGCAGCGGGGATTCCTGACTTTGCCCCCCCCCTACGGGCAACCTCTGGGTGCCCACACCGATCTCTCCACCACGGGTGATCACGAAGGAACCTCCGGACAAGTCGGGGTGCATGGACATTATGGGCTGGTTCCCATGAATTATCCTCAGGGCCATAGCCCTTCCATTTAATAAAAAATTGGGTCTGACCCCCCCTCCTTCGGCACTTCAGGATTGATTCCACCTCAAATTCTTCTTCTCCCTTCGACCGTTATGGCCTCCGGAGGTCGAAAGATTCTCGTTCTGGGAAGGCATCGGGGATTACTGGTTTCAGCAAGGACACATGGAAGACCGGGTGTATCTTGAGTGTGTCAGGGAGGACAAGTTTCGTATGCCACCTCATTGACCGCCCGATTTATGCAAAAGGGCCTATGAACTTTGGTCCCAAATTTCTTTGATGGACATAGCATTTTCAAGTTCGTTGTTGCCCAACCACACTTTATCCCGGGCTGCAGCACCAGGTCCCCTCTTCGTCTTTTGTTAAACGCCTTCTTGTAGTCCTCCTGGGCCCGAGCAATAGCCTCCTGTAGTATCTTAATTGTTGGAGGAGAAGAAAGCTAGCGTGTCCTGTGTCGCCGGAACTGGGCATTCAGGGACCAAGGTCAGGGTGAAATCCGTAGTTTGAAAAAAACGGTGATTGCCCTTGTTGCGGAATGGTTGGGCGTTGTTGTACGCGAACTCCGCCAGGGTAGGAGTGGTAGCCAATTATCCTGTAGGAAGGATGTGTAGCAACGCAGGTACTGTTCTAGGGTCTGGTTGGTCCTCTCGGTCTGTCCATTGGTCTGGGGGTGGAACGCAGAGGAGAGGGATAATTTGATATCCAAAGGCCTTACACACAAGTGCCCGCTCCAAAATTTAGACGTGAATTGGACCCCATCGATCCGAGACGATGTCCTCCGGAATTCCATGTAGTCTTATAACTTCCTGGATAAAAATTCGCGCAGTCTCGGCTGCTGACGGAGTTTCTTTAACGGTAAAAAGTGAGCCATTTTCGAT